ACTCGTTTACCCAGCAGATGGCAACCGCGGTACAGCCCGCGCTGCGAGCGATGTCCTCCTGAACCGGATGGGCACACACGGCGCTGTTTGTTCCTCTGGATTTGTTCCTTCTCCCTCTACACGCGCCCAAAATCCTCACAGGCAGAAGCAGATACATCAGATAGGGTAGGAACACTTGAGGGGGAGAGGAGAAGAACGAAGAAATAGATGGTAACATTCAGGTGATTCGGTTTCTAATCCAGAAAAAACACAAAACAAAACAAAACCACTGATTCTGCGATAGAGTTCAGTCAGTGCCTTTTATCTCGTTTTCCCCAGTTAACTTTTACAGGAAAAGCAGAGCTGCTACATAAATTGAGTATCCAGGTAACGCTCCCCTTTTTATTACAGCCTCATGATTCACAAGCACAGAGCAAAGAAAGGCGAGGCCAAACTGCAATATTCCTACAGACCACAGAGAAGGACCAACAAAGCACAGCTCTGTCAGAAGCACCTTTGTGCTGCCCACTGCTTTTCGTGTCAGACCTACAACCTTTATTCTAACAAACCTCCACTGAGACAAAGACAGGTGGTTATTAGTATTTCCTGATTCTAAAGCAAAATCACTACCAAGGGCAGAGGCTGTGTGAGCTGGAGACAAGGAAAATTCCTCCCTGCTCCATAGCAGGTGTCAATTAATTGGTATTTAGGCTCCTGCCTTCCAAGAGATTGCAGCAGGAATGTCTGAGCCTGAATAGGAGTTAGGAGACTAAACACCTTTAGGCATCTTGGCACAGAGCCTCCAAAAATTACATTACAATGCACTTCACCAAAAACACAGCCAAACAAAAAAAAAAAAAAAGTTGTTAATCTAGAAAGCCTTAGAGATTTTTATTACCTGTTGAATCCTTATGGACTAAATGGCAAGGCTTGAAATGGTCACTTGATTGAAACTAAAATCATTGAAGAAACAAATCTACATTCCTCAAAGATAAGAAAAAGGAATCTGAGTCACATTAGCTGAAAGACAAGATACTTAAGCACAGTCATAATGAAGTTCAAGGTCCTGGGCTCCAATGGTCCATTCTGGACCCTGAGCCTCCTGCTCAGCCCTTTGCTGGCAGCAAGGAGCCAGACATCCTCATGTGCCACACATGATTCCCAAATCCCTGCTCTCCATCAGGTGCAGGAGATGGATTTATGGAGTGTGAATGAAGGGACAGAGCTGCGAGCTGCCCTTGGGTGCCGAGCCCCAGCTAAGGTTACCTCTGCCTGCAGTGACCTCAAGACACTTCCTCATCCTTTACAATGCACTCTGCTTCACAGAAAGGGACAATTTCTTATAATTTTGTCATCTCTTAATGTGATAGAAAATTCTCAAAGACTGAATGCTTTCAAATAATTTTCCTTTTCTAAGACTTGAACAGTATTAAAGAATTCTGCATGAGCTTGGATGTCCAAAACCAGCCTTTACCACACATTGAAAATTGATTCAGTTTCACTGTTCCATCAGTCCTCAGATCTACTCCAGGCCACCACCACCCAAAATTAAAAACCTCCAGGTTCAGACTTTGTGCTCTACAGATCGCACGTTGTAGAATAGTTCCCAAGCAGCTGATACCAGCATACACTACTGTCACTCAATCTTACCAGAGTTATTTCAGTTCTGAATTGCTGAGGTTGGACATTATTATTATTTTTATTTCAGAACACGTAAAAAAGACCTAAATATGACTGAGAAGTGTCTGTTGCACAGGAACAGCGATTTCCATTTATAATCAGAATAAGAGACAACATAAGGATGAAATGAAGTTACAAAAAGATCCAAACAAGAAGGCAGTAACAGAATCAGAACTAGAATCTGGATCTGCTGAGCAGTCCAGTATTGTGTCCTTAGGTTTATATCTTCATTACAACTGTCTGTGGACTCATTAATATAAATTAGTATAAGCTGACATTGCCAACAAAGGAAGCAATTGTGCATTCTGCAAACCTCACTTGTGCATTTCTGCCTCTGCAGCAAAAGGCAGGACAAGCAGCAGCTCTCAGTGCTCATTACACTACAGCCTTGTCCTCCATTCAGGAAGGAAAAAAGGTGTTGAAAACATAACTCTCAGCTGACACTGTGCAAAACCTTCAGGATTTGGTGCCACAATTGTGTAGCACCACTGTGTAGCACACTGTCTGTGTCATACCAAACTGAGGAGAATGACATGTTTGAGTTCAGTCATTATAGGGATAACAGTGTGTCTGTTCACATTGGATTCAAACTGCACCAACAAATCCCAAACCCAAACCAGGTCCCATCCTTCCCTCACTCCCCTGTACATGCAGAACAAGCAGAACTGCAGAATCAGGTCACATTTTCTTTTTAGCTGAAAAACCAGTGAAACTGGACAGTTTCACAGAAATCTAACTCTAATTGAAGTTCCTGTCAGACAGCTGGTGCCAATTCACAAAATATCACCTGCCTGCCTGTTCTTCAGCTCAGCTTGTGCCACAGAGAGGTTCGGGCTGGAAGGGACCCCTGGAGATGTCCCAGCCCGAGCCCTGCCATGACAGCAGCTGCCCAGAGCCAGGCAGATGTTGGAGCCCCAGCTGAAGGCCAGCTCAAGTGCTTCTCCAGGCTAATCTGATGTACCACATATCTCAGCAAACAGGATTTTGCATGTCTGTGCACAACTCTCTTTCATCAGATTACAAGGGAAAAGTGAGTCTAGACATGCCAGAGCATATTTGAAAAATAGAGGATTACTGAATTTTCCATATCCCTCCTTGATTTTGGACTCTCCCAATGCTGCTGTAATAAGGACTAATGGCATTATATATAACCAAATTATGTAAAAGTTAATTGCATTCCACTCAGATTTCCTTTTTACATAGCAATCTGCTTCCTCATCCATGCACAGCCTACACAGAAAAGTGGAGATTTACTACAAAAAAGCAACAGGTTTTGAAAAGTGTCTCAGTGGATGAAACATCAGAAAGCTGCATGAGTTCCAAGCCACTGAAGATGAGCAAGCACAGAAGGAGATTTTGGGTAACTGTGATACTGTGGGGCTAAAGGATCATTGAGGGGCATTTAATTAACTTCAGGGAGTTACTGCAACCAGTGGCTTAACTCCAGCTCCATCCTCTCCTAACTTTTCTGGCAGACAAACTCACCCAAACATGAAGAGAGAAGCATTGCATTTGGCAGCCTGGGCCTGACAAAGCTGAAATGTTCTTTCTGAGGGCACAGGCTGCTCCAGGCAGCAGCTCAGCACTGTCACTGTCACATCTGTGCAGGTGGCTCAGTCTCTATCACAGAGGCAAAACCAGATCAGGGCTGCATTTCAACAGAGCCATGGAAAGAGTTAATGAGGGAGTCAAGGTCAGGCTCAAGTGGGTGTTCTGAACCAGCCTGCAAAGGATTCCTGAGCCCAGAGCAGCTTTTGTTTCGGTCCAGACCCACTTGCACTGGAATGCTGGAAGTGCTGCCCAGGCACAATGCAGACTTTCTCTCCCTCCAGCTATTTCTGCCTTTTCTTTGCATTTTGTTCTATGTTTGCACACTGACAGAGCTTCATGTACAGGAATATGTCATGCACATCCAGAGTCATCACCCTACAAATAAAAAACAAGTTCCCTAATAGTCAGCTTGTGTGATAAAATAGCAATAACTGGAATAGATCACCTCACTTCTGTGGTAACAGAACACACAAATGATGCAATACACCCATTTCACATCTGAATTTCTGCACTTTACTTTTTCAAACTCCTTGCAAATCAATTTAAGAAACACACTGAGACTATGATAATGGCTTGATGGCTCTACTAGGAAAAGTAGCATCAGTAAATGTGTAAGAAAGATAAGAACTAGGATAATGAGATTAATTATTTCATTGACAGGCTATTTTTAGTACATCTACTATATAAATATGTTCAGCTAGTAAAAAATATACTTATCAGCACAAATTGTAAGCCAAAAGAAAGCAAAATTGATTTCACAATTGCTGGATATTTAACCAAAATTACAAAATTAGGTCCTGTGAAAATCCAGCCAAAACGTTCAGTGCTGTCTACTCCATGATTGTAGGCAGTAAATTAAATGCATTTCAAGCAAATGAGTCCTGTGTTGAATAAATGAAATTTTGATTTAAATATTAAGCTAAATAATCTTTTTATTATTTATTTTAAATGCAAAAAACCCAGGCCCTCCTCCCTCAGATGTCTCCCATAGCACAAATTCATCTGCCACAGACATCAGTTACACAATTCGCTCCCTCCTACCCAATCTCCAGTCCACACTTGATGTGCACAATCACATCTGTAATCTCCAGAGCTTCCTAAGAGAGGAGCTCATTTTCCCCTGCCCGAGCTGTCAACACTGAAAAAAGAGCAACAGCCAACAATAGTTATTCTTTGAGCTCTGCATCTCCCAGCTCAGTTCAGACAACTCCATGGCACAGAGCCACAACCTGAGGCACTATAAATCCCAGTCTCATCAACTTCAAGAAACATTTTCCAGAAGCACTGGAAAGAATCAAGGAAAAAAGTTGCAATCTCTTGACAGTCTCATCCCAGGATACTCATCTACATTTTTTACAAGTTTTACAAATTGTGCACATAGAGGTCCAATTTCAATTTCACACAGTTGTAATCTCACAGACTGCACAAGTAAGAACAGAAGAAAGATTGATTCAAAGTTATCCTCAGTGTACAGGGCAGTGGCTGTTTTGGGGATTTTTTAATGCATTTTACCCAAACTCTAGTCTCAATAACAACTACACAGAAAAAAGGGACTGAGGAATGTACAAGCACCGTTCCCTCAAATTTAAGGAGAACTAGCTGTCCCATATGAAATATCAATACAATAAAAGTAAATTTGAAGAAGAAGAAAAGTGCATTTTCAATACCAAACTATGAGATGAAGGGATTCCACTCACCTACTGAGAGGATGTTTGCAGAGAGAAAATGGCAGCAGTTTCCCTCATGGAGAATGGATTCTTCTTTTTGTGTCAAATCCCCTGCTACAGATCTTGGAGAAGTCAGAGCCATCTCAAGCTTTCAGAGCAGCCTAGCAACAGTGCTTGTTCCAAGTCAAACAAAGCACTTCAGCAGAGATATCTGCAGAAAGTTTCAGTCAAGCAATGAAAATATCCGAGGAAAAGCAACAATTTCAGGATGTTGCTGCTTTGCTTGCTTTGGAAGTGCCAGTGAGTGCCTTCTCTGGAATTCCACATTCAGGAGACTGTCCTGGTTTAATTCTTTTGACACATATTCTGCTCATTGAACAACAGGATTTGCAGTATCAGTGTGGAGAAGAAACCAAGGAGCTCAGGCTTGACAGGATGGATGTCAGGGCCCTTCCCAGGAGAACAGGAGTTACAAACATTCCATGTATCTTCCCAGTGTTTCTTGCATGTGGCTACCCTGGAGAAGACATTTTTTTAAACAGTGGAAGTTACTTTAACTGTGAGATATTTACTAAGGAACATACTTAGGTGACGTACAATGGACTGACCTCAGCAGACAGAAGGCACCAACTCTTCCTTCCCTCACCCCAGGATTCTCCACAGACAGAGAAAGTTCCATTTTTGCCAGCAGCAACTTCTCCAGAAGCCAAAGTACTCATGCTGGGGTTAATTATTTTATACACACAAACACACAGAGATGTAATATGTACATATACACTTAACTCAGTCATTCTGCACAACAAGTGAATGTATTGGGTACATTCCCAGAGGACTCTGCCTGATGATGGCTCCCTCATTCACTTCCATCTCTAACCCTTGAAGCTCTCTGCTCGTCTTACCTGTTGTCAGCTGTCTCCATCCTGTATCTCTGTCATTGTCTGGAATTTCCTTTCCCTTTTCTTACCCATCTTCTGCCCACTGGATACAGAAGACTCACCTTTCCACAACTTTCAGTGGATACCTTCCTCAGAGGAAGAAGGTCAAAGAAAGCTCCCTCCAAAACAGCAATCACACAGACAGAAACCTGGGATCCTACCTAGAGCTGGTAACTGTTTGAATCTCTGGGAGTCTCCTTCAGTTTGTAATTACAAGCTGAGCTCTGAAACATTGCCCTAACATGTTTTGTTGTGAAAGCACAGATCCAGTTCGACATTATTTTAAAGAGAGAGGGCAACGAAGCTCACGATTAATTACAGTGATTAGAAATGGAGGAGGGGGTTTGAGACATTCATAGTAAAAAATGAGTAAGAGAATGTCCTGCTAGAGCATCTGCCTGTTTGAAGCTGTACCCCTCTCCTTGTCTTTGGTCCCTCATTCAGCTTCTTTGGGAAGTCACTTCCTCCCTGCCATTATCTTTTCACCAAGCCTCACCTTCTTAATTCTGAAGCTGTTAAAAACTCCTCCGTTCAGAGGGAGCATCAGTCAGTGAAGTAACACCCTTATGAGGAGCCAAATGCATAGCAACTTCATCTAAGGGACAGCAGTGCTTGGCAATAATTATCCTGTAAAAAATCAGTATCATTGCAATCATTTGTTTCCACATTTAAATGGGAAATATCTCACAGGACTTCCTGGGGCTCTGCAATGGTTATGGACGTCTCAGAGTGTGACATTCATCTGACAAAGAATGTCTTTATTACAGAGCACAGCTGGAGTAATCAAAACCCAAATTATAAACTTAGGGCAGATTTCAAAAGCTGACTGGATTGAGAGGGGAGGAAGATAATAGATTATCAAAGATACATCCTGTGCCCCCCATACACTCATTCTTGTACATGCTGTCACCTGTCCCCGTAATTGTATCCCTTCATTATTCCCTGATATATACATAATTAGGTAAAAGAATACAGAGCTAGCATTCTGCTTTAGACTGAGCAAAATCAGTTCATACATTTCCATGTATTCATTTAATACATTTCATGTATTCATTTTGTGCATACAAAAAAAAGAAAAAAGGGTATTTCTTTTCCTTTAGGTTAATCCTTGAATCAATATCAAAAATACACTTACATATACAAAGCTGACTTGTTTTATTTAGAATGGAACTCAAAGTAGGTGTTAGAAGGATTTAAATCAACTTGTCCAGTGAAAAAGCCAAAACTGCACCCAACAGCATTTCTGGAGCTGCTCAGTTGCCTGCTCTGGGCAGGTACTCCTGCAGATGACAGGCACTGCCTCAGTTATCATCTGCTTCGGTCATCTGGGCAAGTCCTGACCACAATTTTATAGCCACTAGCCACAAAGTGCCATTTCTGGTACCTGTGTACTGAATGTCTAACCCTGGGATTAATCCAGGGATCATAGGCTCACAGGACAGATGAAATTGTTTTAACATCAAGACAAGACCAGCCCATTTCCTTTGCAGAAAGCTGAACTGGTGGGTAGTCACTTTGCTGACTCTCTCACCTCTTTGCTTCAGGGCTTATTTGAAAGGCCATTTCCTTTGTAGGAAGTTCAATCAGTGTGACTAATTAGACACCAAAGAACATGTCCATGAGGGTGAGGAAGACTGAATGGGCACGGGTGTTCCTGCTGGTGCCAGAGCAGCATCATTCCAGTGAAAGCAGATGATATATTGATGTGGCTTGTTAAATATTTTATTGTCTCTAGTTATGTCAAATTCATGTTCTTTACGTTTTGTTATGGTCTGAAAGTGAAGCTACTTTGAGGCAGCTGATCTCTGAATAGCTTCACTTTCTGTGCAAAAGTTGTTCTTCCTGCACTCAGTTCCACCTTTTGCAGCTTCCTACAGGTCCTCAGAGTTCCCTTCCTCCCCTCCCTCTCTTCAGCATACCTGTGTTAGTAAAAAATAAAAGCCAAGCCCCTCTTCCCAAACCAATCCCCACAAATCTACGCAGCCAATGGAAAAGGACACAACGAATCCCTAAAAATACAGATTGGTATCTCAGAACAACACTCAGGGGCTAGATTTCCTATTAAAGTAAGTGAAAGAAGCTCAGTTTGCTTTCCTGGAAAATTTGTTGTGAAGGTTGGATGATGGAAAATATCAGTTGCACTGTCTGGAAATACCTCACCTCTGTTACAGCAGGAACCACGGTGGCTCTGGGAACAGCTCTGCTCATTGGCAGAAGACATCAAACAGCCAAAAGAGAGCAACTGTATCTGTTCAGACCACACGAACAAGATTTAAACTGTCTGCTCAGGCTAAGAGCCCTACCTAAGATTATTGTGTGACGTCCTGTATTTCCTTGGAAAAAAGGACTTCAAACCCTAGAGGCAGGATCTGTATCACTTACAGACAATAAAAGCTGTGTGCACCATTAACAATTCTCTAGCCATTTTTATATCACTGTAGTATTTAAAGCTTAACCTCACAAGACCTGCTTTTTGTTCAGGAAGGTTTTGTGCGGCATCCACAGAACTCAGACAAGCTCTGATATCCTCCCAGGACAGATGCACTGATACCTTGGATGAAACACACAAAAACCAAGTCATCACTTAAACCTGAATAGTTTGATGAGGAAGCAGATCAATGGATAAAAGATCAAAGTGCTGTCAAATGGGAGGAAAAAAAAAATTAATACTTTAAAGAATTGAAATGTGAGAGCTGGGATTTGCTTTAAGCTGCAGTGTGGTTGCCTCTGACACGCTGCTCATTTGAAGGAATGCAGCTCCATTCAGCAGGAATTGCAGGGAGATAACCTGCAGGCCCAGGCACGCCAGTGCACAGCCAGGGCTGCTGCAGAGGAGAGGAGAGGAGAGGAGAGGAGAGCAGAGCAGAGGAGAAGAGGCTGCTCCAGCCCCGAGAACAAGGGCTGAGCCCACACCTTAGGGTGTGAGCCCGCATTCTTCCTCCCGAGGAGCGGGCACACTCACAACACGGGCGTGTGAACAGCCCCCTGGCAAAGAGCTCGGCTGCAAAGGGGAAAGTGAACAAAAGGCACAAGAGGACATCAGGATACCTTTCTGGCAGGCTGGTGTGTTCACCTTCACCCAGAACATCCCAATCAAAAGGAACACTCAGCTTTTCCTCACCCGCCCCTTACAGCCTGAGCTGGAGCTGCACATGCAGGAGCCCTGCATTTTTGTTGAATGATGTAACTGAATATTCCTTATGCAAGTAAGCAGACTGATTATTAAATCCAAATTATTTATTTCAGGTTTGTATGAACCATGTCATACGACTTTAGCATTCACCTTATGAAACAAAATGTGAATTTTGTAACAATTTTTGTCTATAGGGATAGATTTGTTTGTAATCCCCTGCCCTATTTTTCCTGAATTGCCAAAACCCCTCTCAGTTGCACCATCATTCCTTGTCACCAGCCAGTTCCCAGACCTGCCTGAAGTGACAATGGAAACACAGCAGCCTCTTGCTTCTGAAGAAAATTTGCATTTTGTATTAGCAAGGGAGAACTGGCAATTTCTATTAGAAGGCAAAAGGAACTAATTAAGCAAAGTTCTAAATCTCATCCAATAGCTTGGCTCAAAAGAACTTTGAAAATAAAAGTTTCATACTCTAGACCACAAAAAACAAAAACCCTCAGAGGAGAAATGAGGGAGGAAGATCTCCTTGTTAGGAGACAGACAGAAAGTGAGGACTGCTGGAAAAAGCTCTGCTACCCTTGGGAATTTGTGAGTCATACTGAGGGAAGATAGACTATTGCCTCCAATGCCACTTGTAATCAGATCTATAATTCCAATAATGTTCATGCTGTCAATTGTGCTGGAAGCCTTGGTCACTCTTGGAAGTCTGAATTTTTTTAAACATTTTTTCTTCAATGTCATGTAAATAAGCAGGAATTTATTTTAAGAATAACATCTTTAATCAAACTGCTTTAATTCTGTACAGCAGCTTACTGCTGCACTGATGAATCTCTTGGATATTAAGGATTAATTTATGCTGGGGGAATTAGAGAAAAGGTGGCAACTTGTCATCTTTCACAAGTCAGTGGCAAACATCAGGTTTATCCTGAAGATGCCTGGTAGGGCCAAACACAAGAGCCCAAGCACAGGTAGACAGACACTAAGACTTTCCACAAACAAGAAAAACATGCTTGTGCTTGGCAACTTCAACTGCAACTGCAGTTTTGGGTATTTTGTTTTGTTTTGGTGGGGGTTTTTTTGGGGTTTGTTTTTTGTTGTTGTTTTTTGGTTTTTGGGGGTTTTTTCGTTTGGTTTTGGGTTTTTTTGTTTTATTTTGGTTTGGTTTGGTTTGGTTTGGTTTTTTTCCAAATATTCAAACCCATTCTTAAATTATGAATCTCCTTCTCTATCAGCAGGAATAGGTCTGGGAGCCACTCAATCCATCCTCATTTTGTCAAACACAGGGCAGTGACGTACACACATGGGAATTACAAGGCAGCAAGTCTTTAGGGCCTGGTCCAATAAATATCAAAGTACAGCTCTGCTTTGCTCCCCACCTTATCATGGACTTTAGTACTTGGTTAGTCAATAAATAACATTACTTCAATAACCTCATCTCAGTCTAAACTCACAGAAGGGGAAGAAGTGGGATAGGACACTATTTTATACTGTAGGAGACAAAACCCTGTTAAGTTGTTTAAACAGAAAATATTTCACGTAGTCCTTGCAGCAATCCCACTGAGTAATGCCATTATAACTCATCCCAAAATTGTGTTTTTGAGGTTCTCCTCTGCAGGCTATAGAACTTCTTCCAGGCACCTCAATTGCAGCTGCCATTGTTTCCTCAGGCTCCATTCCTTAGTTGTTTTTTGTTGTTGTTGGGTTTTTTGTGTTTGTTTTTTATTATTATTATTAAATAAAACACAAATTACATGTTTTCAGTTAAGGGCAGAGAAAACTTCCAGAGAATCCATTCCAGCAACTAAGGGCAGTAGGAAATCTGGAATAACAAGATGTATTATGTTGAAGGGGAGAAGAGGCAGGGAGGAGCTTCTTTTAAGTTATCTCACAGTAACTAATCCTGCAAGGAGAGCTGAGAGGAGACATCCTCTGAACACCAGACTGAACACAAAGTTTCTACATAACGGCCCTTGGCAAACTCCTCAGGGACTGGGAACTACAGAGCTTGTGCAGCATTTTCAATCTCTCCCAGGAATGTTAACATGGAAAGATCCTTCACCTTCCCACTTGATCTCCCTTGCCATGTCTGAGGCAATCCAAACTATTAAGATGTCAGAAGATTCTACAGGAGCCATTCCCTAATTAAATGGAAACAAGTGAGGCTGTGATGAACAATAAAAAATGTGGGCCAAGATCAGAACCAGGTACACCAAAATCAGCCTCTCAAGTTTCATGCTGTATTTGTGATGCAAATGGATCTGAAATCCTCACTCAGGTTATGCTTGTCTTGATGTCTGCACCCAACATTTCTCTCAGGACTGCACAGTCTGATGTGCAGTCTGCCAGATAGCAAAGAAGAAGGAAGCTGAGAACTTTGTCTCAGCATGTGTAAAGGTTTGTCACAGCCTGCAGTGTGCAGGTACCTATCCAATGACTCTGCTGTGCACCTACGTGTGCTGAGGGGAACTGCTCCACCCCCACAAAATGAAGACAGATGAAACAATGAATAAAAAGTTTGGAAATTCCCTACAGATTTAGAGTCTGTGCCCTAAGCAGTAATGTGGAGACCAGAATTCCAGTGACTTGCAGCAAACACTGGGCTGAGGAGCTGCACACAGTGGCCATGGATAGCTGTCCCCTTGGAACAGGGCTTGGCTCATGTCATGCAGGGCTTTCCTTCTCTGCCAGCTGGGCCTGGAAGCATGGTCAGTCATGTCACAGCTGCCACCAGGAATTGTCACAAGGGATGGACACAAGGTTTGCCATCATCCAGGGAGGCCAGAGATAACAGTGGAAGCAGAGGTGAACCCACAAATGAGGTCAAGACAGTGGAAGAGAAAGAAGATTCAGGCATAACACTGAAAAATCTATTTCAACATTAAGATCAGATCAATTTAAGCTTATTGTGGGAAGAAATAGGTCGTTTTAAAGATAACTAATGCAGAACTGAGATATCTGGTGCATGAAAATTGTATTGCAGTAAATTCAAATAATCCTTAGTAACTGCAAGGCTATCTTTGCTGAAAAATCCCTTCAGCCTCATCCTCTAACCCAGTCATATTCATTTATACAGTAATTTTTCAGCTCTGGACAAATTAACAAGAACAAGTTCCAGTGATATTCACAAGTATATTGTCCCCTTTGATCTATATTTAGGATCCGAGGGTTCTGTATCATTTATTTCAAAACCAAAGTGAGATTGTGTTGTTTTGAAACTATAAGTACAGGATTTTAAAAATGCCTTGCACACCCTATATTTTATTACTCTGTTATTCCTGCAGGACCATTCACTAAGATACTCTCAGCCACTTTGAGTTAAGTATGGAGTAGCTTTAATTCAGAAAAATTACAGAAATGATGAATGAAAACAAAAGCCTTTTCAGACAATGTAGAAGGAGCTTGGCTATAAACTGGAATGTTATCATCCTTTTTTGCAAAGCCAGAATAAACTTGTTCCTTGGCTGAGGACAATCAAAATACGCTGCATTATAGGAGCTCATTGTGCCAACAGAGTCATTAAATATAAGATTCAGTGAGCCCTGAGTGTTTCAAGATTCAGTTATACAGGTTTATATTACAGAACTGGGTAGGACAGAAGCAGTTCTGGTAAAATATTGCTTATCAAATAAAAAATCCCAGAGTTAACAGCTCTGCCATGACAAATATTTCTGTATCTGGTCATGGCCTCTGCTCCCTGTAATAAACCCTCAGTGCCCAAAGCAGAGAGCCTGTGACAAGCAGCGCTCCTGCTGAAGAGCTCAGAGCCAAGTTAACATTTCTCCCTGTCCCCACAGCCACTCCTGAGGCCACCAGAACACAGCGACTCTGACACCACTCAGCCTTGCCCACATTCAGATAACTCGGTGTCCTCGGCACTCACTGACCTCCCCTCGCTTGCACTGAACATTTTCTCACACTAATCTCACTGGGAAAAAAGGAAATCTCCCCAGCACAGTTTTTGTACCCTCAGTAAGGACAAAAAAAAAGCTCTCCCAGTAGACAAAACTTTCACCACATTCTTTGGAACAATAAGTTAACTTTGAGCACCATTCTGAACATGGCATCAATTTCCTACCTCAAACCTATCACAGTCAGCAGTGACATTTACTCTACTTCTGTTTTATTTTATAACAGGCAACCTACCTCTACCATGAAACAGAACATGATTCTAGAAATTATCACCTGAGGATTCAGGGTATATTTAGGACCTACATCTGAACCCTGAAGCCTGAGGCATTGGAAGCATACAGAGCCCGAGCAATCCAGCCATCCTTATTATTTGCCATATCTCTGCAATCATTACCCACATTTTTATGTCAAGAAAGAACTGAAGATTATTTCTCTATAGTCCAAAAGAATCACAAATTTTTTTAAGAATTCAAAATTTTCAAAAATAAAAACATGCATACCGTTTCAAAGTGTTGCTTATGTCTTTCTTCCCAAGTTAAGACTTGGCTGTTCAGTCACAGAATCAGCCATAATCTATTGCTAAACTGATATTTTATTTAAATGCCTGAAGTTTATTTTAGATCCAACCTGTCTTATCCAAGTCAGTTTTCATTTTGGCTCCGTACGCCTGGGAAAGCTCATGGCTCAGGTTATCAGTTCAGAATGAATGTAGTAGTCTTTCATTAAAAAAATAAAAAAAACCAGTTGTCCAGTTAGAAAAGTCTCAACTTGAATCACAAATGTGGTTTGCTTCATGCCTACAAGCTCAGAGAATCTAAAAATTTAGGACTAACAATTCCAAGATTCCTGAACATTTTCATGAACAAGAGAAAGCATGATAAAATAAAACAAGTGTTAGACATTATGCTCTTTCCATTTTCCTACTTCCTTCAAAAAGACAAGAGCAAAAGTAGTAGCAAATTCTGTTACAGCTATAAGGCTGTCCACGCTCCTGGGGTAGCATATTACAAACTTTGTTTCTAACACCCAAGAGCGAGCAAAAGCGTTAAAAGCACAGCACAATGATCGCTGCAAGAGAAAGCAGAAAGCAAACGCCGCACACACCTTTGTCTGTCCCGGCCGGGCAGTGCAGACGGGCTGTCCCGGCTCCTGTGCGCGGAGCGTCCAACCTTCATACCCGGGCCAAAACCGGGAGCAGGGAGGGAGGGACCTGCGGCGTCTGGAGCGAAATCCCGCCCCGCTTTCACATGTAGAGGGCTCCGAGCTCTCTGATCACAAAGCAGCTTTACAGCCCCTGTTCAAACAGTTCAGCTCCAGGGTAACAAGTTCAAAGTGGGAGGAGGCAAAAGGAATCGGAGGGTGGCAACAATGCCGAGCAGACGTTTCGCTCCTTTTGCATCCGCAGAACCTGTTCTTCAGGTTGGAAACTGAAACATCTGCCCGCTGCCCTGTTTGAAAGCTGCGCTCCGAACCTCTTGTCTCCTAACAGGTCTGCAGAGGCAAAATCGGATTTTATGATGCACAGCCTGTGGGAGGAAAAGTTAATAATTGCTGAGCACCGAGGTTTTTTACATTTTGTACTTCCTTGTGGTAACATCAGCGAAGCAGCTCGTTCCCCTGTCAGGTCTGTTGGAAGGAAAAGCAGAGAAGCATGGCACGGAAATCAACAAACTTGGCTCCCAAAAACTTAATCAAAACCACATCAATGACTTTTTAAGAGATAATGGCAGTTTTCTGAAGTCACCAGTATCGATCAGAATACGAAGGAGAAGAATCAGATTTTCCTGGCAGATCATAGTGTAGCAACTAATATTTTATGCATGTGTGTGGTTATATCTAGGTATGAATATATATGTGAAAGTATATCACAAAACGGGAAGGTTACTTGGCATGCTGCACTTCCTCAGCTCAAAACACACTGACAGGACCCCCACCCTTCAAAACATCACAGAACAACTTTTAGAATAGAATAAAAGCCACATAATAAGTCAAAGTGGGCACATACACAGAACTTACACAGTTCAAATGTTTTAGTACTTGTTGGCAGAGTCCGACCTTCAGCTTTATAAATGGTTTCCAATCTAATAATTAAGTGGTCATTGGTCAGGATTTCAGCTTTGCAAAAAAAAAAAAAAAAAACCAACACAAAAAAAAAAAAAAAAACACCAAAAAAAACAAAAAAAACCTCTCAAGCTCTTCTTTGGTTTCTTGACCCATAAAATAAGAAAATCACATTTACCCACTTCAGCAAAAGGGCAACAAATATGTCTGGTATTTTTCTTAACAACTGAGCTGTTGGATGTGTGAGATAGACACAGCTCTCCTTTAAACAAAAATCAAAATCAAAACATGAAAGATTGGATTTGAATTATTCTGAACAAAACGATCCAAGGTTTTGTCAATTAATTTTGTATATTTTTAAAAATTCTATAATTTTAGCTGGCAGCCTTCGACTTTTTTATTTAATAGCAGTTCTCCAAGATTTAAATGTGAAAATGTCCCGTTCCGGACCCAAGTTCCCATGGGACATTTCCTTATGCAGGTGCGTCCCCTACTGCTGAACGACGGAAAATGTTCTAATTTTTTTTCCCCAATTCCATTAATTTTACAGCTACAGAGGGAACAAACCGCGATTCCATTGATGCAACACACCCCAACAAATAAAAATTGAGCAGCGCCTGGAGCAGGGAGGGAGGGATTAAGAATGTTTTGCTTATCTGTAAGATTCATCAGAGCTTTACTTATCACGTACAACTTCTGGCACAGTTTAATTAGGACTTTGACGCCACGATCTGTGCACTAATAGGCTACTGAAAGGATTACAAATATCCAGTTTATTTGTGGTTATGTTTGGCCACAGGGAGCCTTTCTTTGCTTTTCACTAAAAGAAAGAAAAAACCCACCAAGCTCCTGTTCTCCCAAAACTTTCCAGTGAGTCCCTGCCATGTTAATTTGGAAATTCTTCAGGAAAACACCTACTTTAATTCCAGTTAAAGTAGTTTTGTCAAATAAATGAATTAAATGTGGAACTGTTTAACTGTCCCTTTGCTTTAGCGTGCTGCAAAACTGAATTTATAACAACGTGGAATTAAAATCTGCTAGGGGAAAAAATGTGTTTTGGCAAAAATGAATGTATCAGACCTCAGAGTGTAAATATGGATATACACATACACACACACGTACAGGATGTAAACATTAGCAGAATGCTGCTACCTTCATTAACTTATTATTATTATTATTATGTGGTGTTTCTTGTTTGCCTCGTGTAGAGCTCGGCAGAAAACAAAGGGCAGCTTGTTCAGTCTCCCCATACGAACAGCTCATTTTGAAGGGATGCACGGAGGCTTTCGCAGCTGTTAAAAACGCAATAGCAGGACACTGAACACACCTTCCTTCTGAATTATCCTCAATTTTTTTAAAAGCAATTTTTGAAAAGCAGGAATAGATGACGCCATGAAAAGTATCCCTGCTTTAAGCCTAAAACTGCAGATACTGAATGTCACTATGATGCTTATTTTAATAAAAAAAATTTAAAAAACAAAAACAACAAAAAAACCCCAAGCTGTGGAAGGGCTGGAAAATGTATACAATATTGCGGAGTGCACCTGCCTAGGGAGCGGTGATTCGGTGGGTTCTTTGTGAGCTGTGTTGTGAAACGTCCTAGAGCTCATTTTTACCGTTCTTAGCACCTCAGTTGGGCTCATCCCGTTCCTTTTCCCTCCCCTTTCCCCGCCCCTCACAGCCTCTTCCTCCCCTTTCCACGCCCTTTCCGCCCTTTTCCCGCCCCTCACTGTCCCTTTCCTCGCCCCTTTTCCCACCCCTCACACGCCCTTTCCTCCCCTTGCGCTCTTCCCGCCCCCTTTCCCTCCCCCTAACATTCCCTTCCCTCCCATTCCCGCCCCTCAGGGCATTTTTTCCAGTCCTTTTCCCATTCTACCCGCCCCTTTTTCCAAGCCTTTTCCCAATTTTTCCCCGCCCCTTTTCCCGCCCTTTTCGCCCCCTCACGGTAGGGGCGGCGTTTCCCGCCCTCGCTGCCGGGATATCCCTGCGCGGGCGGGGCGCTCCGCCGCTGCCGGGCCGCAGTGCCCCGCAGGCCCCGTGTCCCTCCGCCCGCCATGGCGGCGGCGGCGGGCCCGGCGCGGCTGGTGCGCTGCGGGCAGAAGGACGAGCTGTACCGGGCCGGGCTGCGCAGCGGGGCCGGCACGGCGCTGCGGGGGCTGGCGGGTAATGCCTGCGGGGGGTTGGAGCCACCCCGAGCCTGCCGGGTGCGCGGCTCTGGATGGGGGTCGGAGGGGGCTGATGGCGAGTCCGGGAGGAATTCCCGGGAGGAATTCCCGGCGGGGCTCGGCTCAGCGCGGGTTTGGAGTAGTGACAGCCGCGCCCCCGTCCCGCAGGTGCCCGGCCGTGGCTGGCGTGGAGAAGGGAGGTGGAGCTGCTCTCCGATGTGGCCTATTTCGTGCTCACCACGCTGTCAGGTAACCTTCCCTGTCATTCAGCACTTTTTGTCATTTCTGCCAACATCTGAAAGCTGAAGGGCCGCGGGTGCTGTGCTGGTGATCGCCACCTGAGACTGCCCAACAGCAGTTCTTGTCAGCCTGGAGGCTGGTTTGCTTTGGATAAATGCCTTCTGGTGCATATGAAACCACGAAATTGTCGGGGTTGGGTTCAAACGCACTTTATCAACAGATGGATGTTCTTCTAAAAACAATTTTTTAAAAGCAGGAATAGATGACAGCATGAAAACTATCCCTACTTTAAGCCTAAAACTGCAGATACTGGATGTCACCACAACACTTATCTTAATTCAACAAAAAAATAACTACTTCCAAATTCCAAAGTCTGAACAGCCTGTCCCAACTGCTCAGCATATCCAGAATGATCCTGCAGTTGCCCTCTCACCATGTTTTCTGTTGCATACATTGTTTAGGTTATCAGACTCTGGGAGAAGAGTATGTGAACATCATTCAGGTTGACCCAAGTAAGAAAAAGGTGCCTTCTTTCCTTCGTCGGGCCCTCTTCATTTCCCTGCACACCGTGGTACCCTACTGCCTGGAAAAGGCACTGCTGCACCTGGAACACGAGCTGCAGATGGAGGCTGAGGAATCCAGGGCCCCCCCAGCACTGGGCTTTCCCAGCAGGAGCTCCATTCGCAGCTGGATTCGGAAGCAGGTTGGGGAGCTCACGGAGCAGCAGAAGAAAACAGCTTCCCAAGTCGTGTATGTCCTTAAACAATCCATCCCTCTGCTGCACCGGCTCCACCTGGCAGTGTTCTACATCCAGGGCACATTCTACCACCTCTCCAAAAGGATCACAGGGATCTCATATGTAAGTGGTTTTGGTTCAAGATGTGAATGCAGAATTTTGGCCTTTTCTGGGGCGCCATATGTGTAAAAGGGATAAGGAATTTGGCTGTGGCTGATTATACAGGCAGAGAAAAGGGGTGAGATGGAAGGTTTTGCTTTATTTGGGTGTGATGAGTCCCTGCAGTCAAGAGGTTACAGGTAATAAACATCAATGTGGTGTCACAAGTTCTGTGTAACTTCAGTGAGTGCCACAAACACACGGGAAGTAAGAGGTGACTTGATAAATCCATGGGAAATATTGTTTTGAACAACACTCAGTAGACATTTAGATAGCACTTTTCTATATGAAGATAATTTTGTATCTTTACAAAAAAACATCAGCCATACTGGCCCAGAAATGTGTACAGACAAAGAGTTCTCAACAATTCCCAGCATCAGTGCAGGAAATAGGTTTTTGTTTGCTCAGGGATACATAAGAAAATCAAACCAATCCAAAGTGCAATTTTTATGGGCAGACAGCAGCTACCAGTCTGACTGAAGGTCATTACACCTCCTGAGAGACAGCTGGCTGAGAAGTCCTAAAATGTCAATATTTTGGACAAAATGAGGAACCAAAATCAAGTTTATTGCAGATGGGGAGAGGAGGAACAGTTTCCTAAAACCACAGTAACAAAACATCTCTCTGTATTCTGTAGGTTCATTTTGGAGGACTGCAAGGAGAAGATCAGAGTATCCGATCAAGTTACAAGTTTCTTGGAATAATTTCACTCTTCCACCTTCTGCTGACCATTGGAGTTCAGATGTACAGCTTCAAACAGAAGCAGAGAGCAAGGCAGGAGTGGAGGCTGCACCGCAGCCTCGCTCACCAGAAGTAAGAGGTGGTTCTTAATTCCTAGGAAAGAGGTGGGAATGTCACAGCTGTCACAAACAGGGACAACACAGGAGTGACACCCAATTTAGGTTGCAGTCTGATGTAAACATTTCATTAACTAGCAAAACTAATTCCTCGCTGCTTTGTGCGTGTCGTGGACTTTATGCTTTGGTGTTTTTGAGACCTTCATGAAAAGGGTTGATACTCGAGCACGGGGTTTACTGCAGGATGTGTTACACAGTATTTCTGCCAAGCAGGGTAAGTGCAATTAACCCCAGTGTGCCTGTGTTAATTAGGAGCAGGAGCAAGGAGGCGGCGGCCGGGCGCCAGTCGCGCTGCACGCTGTGCCTGGAGGAGCGGCGGCACAGCACAGCCACCCCCTGCGGGCACCTGTTCTGCTGGGAGTGCATCACTGCCTGGTGCAGCACCAGGGTGAGTACACAGCACATCACACTGCCAGCTGCCCCCAGCCTGCCTGCCAACGCCCTGGCTCTCACCGGGCACCCAGAGCTGACCAGCACCCATGGGGCTGTTGAAATACAATGACAATTACATAGGTGATGTCAGTATGGTGAGCACTTCACACTGGGACAGCTCAGGGGAGCTTGCACCACAGTTGGGACTGAAAAATTATTTTCTACAAGCAGCTAAGCAGTTATATTCCGATTTTTTTAAAATAGAACTATTCAGTATGTCCATCTACTCCCTTTTCTTCCTGTAGGCAGAATGTCCACTGTGCAGAGAGAAGTTTCATCCTCAGAAACTAATCTACCTACGGCACTACCAAATGTAAAGGGAACCTCTTCTATCTCCTCATACTTGTCCTACAGCTTGGGTTGGTCCAAGAAAAGGCTTTATTAAACTGGAAATTGCCTGTGCAAGGTGGCACTACATTCCTGTGTGACAGAATAAAGCTATTTCTGCTTCTACCCTTCTGTTTCTTCTGATGTAGCTCTTGATCATACCTAAAAATAGGGTTCTAAAACATGCTTAACTCAAGTTTAATAATTTTCTTAATTTTGGACAATGGAAAACGCATGCAAACCAACAAAAAGCCACAGATCAAAGTGAGCTAGAACTACCTGTCACTTCCCCAGGATTACTGAATTCCAGAAAGCCTTAATTTGACAAGATCAGAGGAAAAGGTGCCTACATACATTTTCCAATTAGTTGTCTGTTGAATCTGCTGAATTCCATTCAGAATCTTCCAAGAGCTAATCTTTTCCTACCTTCTGCAAGCAAATGCTCCCTGAAGAGTTGAAAAAGGCACTGCATGAAGTTAAACTGAGGGCAGCCATTATTGAAAATGAGTCATAAATAGTGTTAGATCAAGAGATGTATATAAAGATAGAGAACAAGTAAAGGGGAACACTGTCTTTTAATAAATTTTGGAATTAAAAAGTCACTTAATAAAACTGCAGTTGTATCACATGAAAAAGTTTACATGCAGGTCATTTCTCTCTCTTTCCCCCCCACCCCATAAAAAAAGAAAATCTGTGTTAAAACCGCCATGACTGTCTGTTCTGGCCAGTTTGGGTATGTCCTGTGGGGCTGCATGAAGTCAACTTCAATTATTGAAGAAACCATTACATATGAAAGAAACTCCAACTAATAACAATTAAAATATATATTTTTGTAATTCCAGGTCCTCAAAGGAAATTGTGATAAAGTTTGAACAAAGTTCTGAGTCATCAGAAAGAGCCCAATTTTAGCATCTGCTGGGAGATGGAACAGTGAAACTGGCATTAAAACCCAACACAAATGAGTTGCTTTAGAAGCTAAATGAGTATTTTTGCCCTACTGCAAACCCCATAATTTAGTAATTTCTTATTCCTATCTATACTTGTTTGGTTATAACTCAGTAATACCATGCATTTAGGAAACTGGCTTAAGTTCTGCATCTAATTTAGGTCTACTGAATTTTTCTATGAAAACAGCACACGGCCATGAAGCAGAAAACAGCATCACGTGTGCCAGCTTACACTTTCCTCCACAGATGTGCACAGCACTTCAGGGTGATGTTGAGCAGGAGAACTATGTAAAAATATCCAACTCTAGGCCATTAACCTCTCCAGTGCAATGGATCTTGAAAGAAATACATTATCCCAAATCCATGGGATTATCCAAAGTTTCTCCAACTTCTTACAAAAGAGAATAAACTCAATGCAATTTGGTTAGAATGCCAGTTTCCTCAAGAATCTGATATTTCAGATAAAAATGAAAATTCAACTGCTTTGTCACCACTCTGTTAATCACTTTTATGAAGAAAAAAGGCATTGTTACAATGGCTCAAAATCGTTCCTTTAGTGAGCAGTAGAATTGGTCAGCAGGTTGATTGCTTCTTCCTAGCTAGCAAAGGTCTTCCCCACATCCTCTTTCCCTTTGTATTTCCTCTTGCCATGTGTGAAGGGTATATATCTGTACTTTATCATGTGCTGCAAAGAGAAAACAGCAGTTGTTGAGGCAAGAAAGTTATATAATATTTAGGAAAAAATGGTTTATAATACACACTGTAAATTACTGAGTCGTCCAGAAAGAGAGTTCCTAGTAAATGTAATGAAATAGCTAATCCTACAGCAGTTTATATCTGAATAGGGTATGAGAGCAGTTTTATATATCTCAGATTTTGGGTTACCCAATGAATTTTACATTACAGTGAAGATTACTGATTGGGGAACCACAGGAAAACTGGAGAGAGCACAGAGGTACTCATTATTTACTACCCTTTCAACTTTAATTTACCACTTTGAATCACAGTACCTTCAAAATTCTGAATGACTGAGGAAAAAAATAGGGTTTTTTTTAATGCTAACAAACCATAAGTAATTTGTTAAAATGGTCTGAATCACTTGCCTATGTTCTCTCCCTTTCCCCCATTTACTTTCTCACACCTTGTGAGAACTTCCCTTCTCACCCACCAGAGATGGTTCAACACCTCTGCATCCAAAATAGCCACAGGAAGTGGATGAGAACCCGCATAAAACCCTGACACTGCACTCTAAAGTCAAAACCTTTTGAAACCAATAATAAAGTTTTGTAAAATCTGCTCAACATTGTAAACACGCCCCACCCGAACAATTAATGTTCAAGTATTAGTTATTGAAGTTCCTCCAGTAAAAGTGTGTGCAGCACATTTAACCCCTGAAGGGCTTCACTGGATGGCCAGTTTGAAGCAATGCTGTAAATCCTGACATCCCAAATTCTCTGTTCTTGCCAAGTTACCTTGATTTGCCTCTTCATAGTAATACAAAATAGCATAATGAAGTACATCACAAGGATTGGCCAAAATACTGGAACGTTGAAAGCCTCAAAGAATGTACAAGCCATAGCAACCAGGATTCCTTTAGTGGCAGAATGCCTGAAAAATAATAGTAACAATTAATCCTTCAAGCCCAGTTACCATTAATGTCATGCAAATATTTGTAGTTTTCAAAATCAGAACACAGGCAGATGGATCCACTCACCAGAATTTGAATTCTGGGAGCCTTCTAATGAAAGGCCGGAATTCTTCATTTTGCCTTGTAGGTAAGGAAGGACCATCATCTAAAAATAACAGAAAAGAAACCAAACCACAAACCTCCTCACAGTAGTTTTTTCACACTATTCAGACTCCATTTTTTTTACTTTCTATCTTAAGGAAAAAAAAAAATCACAAAACACAACCACACCCAATTTCCATTGTCACACACAGATCCCAGTTAAGAGTTGCTGATTTAATCTATGTTCCCACAGACTCCTTAAAATAAACTTAACATAGATTCCTTTAAAGAAAATAGCTAAGAGGAACACCAGGCCCCTTGAGTTACTATGGGGAGAGCTTAAGTCACATAAACTTCCTTTTAAAACACAGAAAACGAGTACAATATGGAATATATTCAAGTCCCATGAAAAAGAACAAATTTTATAGCAACTCTTGATGTTAAGTTGTAAAGATTTTTTTTCATGTCCAAAAAAATACAATGTAGTGCTAAAATTGCATTATCTTTACACTACATTATCAGACAAAAGGAGCTGGAAGTTTGCCCAAGTTTCAAACGATGGTAAAAAGGAACTTTTCCTCATACCTGAATCTTCCATTAGAGAGGGGTCTACCTTTGGCGACAGGAAAGCTATGAAGAGGTTGAGGTGGTAGATTCCCAAGGCATATGTCACAATGTACCAGCCCTGCACAAGGAGGAACACACAACGGTAAAATCCTCCTGAAAATCATTCTCTGCTACTCATTTTTTAACAAGATTAAACAACCCAGGTTTTTTCTTCCTTCAGAAGCTTTTCTATGTTCTCATTACTAACTGAAAGGTTTCTGGGCTTGTAAAAATATCAATTCTCAGGAATCAAAACAAGTTTTAGAGCATGACAGGAGAGCAAATCTCTCATGTAGCGACAGACTGAACATAAAACCATGGTCTAGCATCCAAATTCTCTATATTCAAGATGTGGCCTTCAAAAGTAGAAAAGATCATAAAACCATCCCTTTTTAAATCATCTTTGCAGCCCTCAGTGTCTGAAATGTTCTACTACTATGACCTGTAAAGGTTTCACATTCTGTAATCATCAGTTTTTGGGAATAACAGTGCCCAAGTTCTTAACTGAACTGCAGACTGGCATGGAACATCTGAAACAAGCATAGAACAATCAAAAATATCTGATTAGTGGGGAATAGTCCGCCCCTGGCCTGCAGGGAGAGAAATGCTGACAAAGCCATTCCTCGTGGTTTTCATGACAGAAAGGAACCCCTGGATCTAATCATATTGTTATACAGCTTTAATATAAAAGCAAAAACTTAATTACAACAGTTTTCAGAGATTTATTTTGTGATTTCAGATTGCCATCAGATATCCTCAAGTGTTCACACATTTTTCTCTCTGCATCAGTAACTTCCAAACCCACAGGATGTGTTCTCTCTTCAGACTACACAATTTACCTTTTGCAACACGCTGAACGATACCACACCTCATTCTAAAGCAACAGCACACTTCAAAAATACTCTTAGAATCAAAATTAGACCAGTAACAATATCTGGAACTACTTCAGCATCAAATCCAGTTCTCTCACCTGCAGTAAATAAACTCTAATCATGTAGATAAAGCTCAGCCCCAGCGTTACAATCCATCGCACTGCAGTGTAGGGGGTGGATTTGTCTAACCAGGACTGGTAGATCTGGAGCAAACACAAAGTGCACAGTAAATAATAAATACTGTAAAAAACTTGATGCACAATGGGTAAAGCTTATTTGAGGATAATATGGGCAAAATAAAGCATTTTGGAGGAGTATTTTGGGAAAGAGAATAACATTGAACACTTGTACTCTTTACTACAAATTAATTAAACAGAACTGTACTTAAAAGCTTCTATATTTTTACAAAGAAAAAAATACCTAATGCTTAGGGATTTTGTAAAACAATTAAAATTTTCTGTATTTTATGCAAGTTGCTTCCCTTAAGATGAATTTGACACTAAATCTGAACTCACTACTCATTTCTGACAGTAACAACGTATTTTCACTGTGCAATGTCACACATATGTCCATTAAATATTCCAATGAGTCATTTATTATAGATATTTGTCTATTTTAAAAGGCTTCAAAAGAAATCTTTTGTATAGATTTTAGCATTTCAACAACCCAGCCAACAAGGAGTGAGTTCAAGAAGCTGCAGTGAGATCTGCTTCTAAAGGAGTCAGAAAAATCCTTCACAAAACCAACCTGTCCAAGTCTTGAGAAAAACCTATAGACCACAGAAGGTTTTCCATGCACAGACTCCCCAATGCTGTCCCCTTCTGACATGGTGGCTGTGGAAACAAAACATGGGACAAGGGAACATTGAAATCCAAAATGAAAGCTCAGGGAGGTTTAAAGCACATTCTCTGAACCAGCATTTACACACAATATTCTTCTGGCTTGTCCTGTTTGAAACAAATTATTCTGAATATTCTTAAAGAGAGGACACATGCCAAAATGAGTGTAAATTCCTTGTCCAAGAAAGCAAAGAACAGGGTATTTACAAAGGCAAGACAGGAAGGAAATAAAGGGGGAAGGAAATAAATAAGTCCATAAGGAAATTCAGCACCAGCCCAGCTGGACATTGTCACCTTGCTAAGGCACAGGCTGAGGTACAAGCCTTAAGCAGTGAGACATGAACTCATGGCACACCTCCCTCCTGCCACCTCTGGCTCCAAATGCAAAGAACAAAACCAAGGTAAAAAAATTACGCAAGGGGATTATCTTTCAGTCCACACCTCTGCTACCAATTGAAGAGCTTTATTTTTCTTATCAATGAGTTTTACAGCTCACTTCAAGACAGAAGCCAAATAAAGCAGAAACATTTTGCCACATCACCAAGAGCAATCCCTGGTACTACTTCCTGGAATCCTCATCTGTGGGTGGGACTATGTAGCTCTGGGATACTGGGAGTACCCTCAGCCCTCCTGAGCCCCAGA